ATATACTAGCTGACTTGTAAATCGCACAGCAAGCAAGATTGTTGAAGCGGGTATTTTTTTGAAAAGAATTTTATAAACTATCTACAGCGGCGGTCGGGGAACTTTTTTAATTATTACCCCAAAACTTTTCTGTCTAAGTTGATATTACCCCATGGCGAAGAACAAAAAAAAAAACGAAATCGCTTCTTTTTAGTATCTTTCATATTATAGGCCCCATGATAATTTTGAAAAGAAAACAATAACTAAAAATGTAACGATTCTAAAGAAGTTTCACTTCAATATATACTTTTTTTATTTTTTTTATTGCTTAGATGTGTGGACGAGCTCACAGCCCACCTGGTGTTAAGTGGTTACTGGAGTCCATAGACATCTACAACGTAAATGCGCCACACACCTTGAGATATAGTTCTAAGGTCTCAGTATAGTCACAACGGCTGCACCACCATTCAAACCGAAACGCATTACTGCTTCACGGCAGAAATAGGCGGGGCGGTGGTACCTACCCGTGCGGACTCACAAGAGGTCCTACCACCAGTAATTACGCAAATTATAATTTTGCGGGTTTCATTTTTATTGCACGATGTTATTCCTTCACCGTGGAAGTCAATCGTGAACATTTGTTGAGTACGTATTTCATTAGAAAAATTGGTACCCGCCAGCGAGATTCGAACACCGGTGCATCGCTCGATACGAATGCACCGGACGTCTTATCTTTTAGGCCACGACGACTTCAATTTTTACTCACAAAAGTTTCATTTTTACCCCTAAAAATTTCATTTTACCCCATTTGGGGTAATTTACCCCGGTTCCCCGACCGCTGATCTACAGGGTGCTCTCGAAGCTAATAACAGCTATGTACCGTGAACCAAAAAAAAGACGTTTACGAATTTGATAACTTCTTTATAAACATTCTGTGAATGTTATCTATAAGCGCTCTATAGAGCTATAACGATCATTAACAGTACGATAAAATTAAAATATCCTCATTAACATTCGACAGGCTTGATTGTGCCAATGCCATTTTAACAAATATCGGTTAAACCTTCGATAATATGTGTTTTGTTATGAATCAGGTCGTTAGACTTAAAGTTTTTGTTCTGAGGTTAATTGTAGTAATAGCATTATTATAATAAAACGGATCTTGTTATTATACTTTTTTTTGAAGTGGAACTTCTTTGCGTACGTGAGGGTAAATTATAAAAATACGTCCCACGTTCTTAATAATTAATAACGTGGGACGTGACATAAAACATGGTATAACAAAAGGCAACTGATATGGAATAACAAAACGCAAGTGACAGCTAAACGTAATGTAGTCTATGGTTAATTAAAGTAGAATTTTGAAGTTGACCGGTTGATGTGTTTGTTTCGAGTTTCTACTAGCTTATTGTGCCGAGATAGGTAATCATTACCAGAAAGCGCGATCAACATGATCGAATTTTTCCCCACGAAGCCGTAATGCAACTAGGGTACGAAACATTGCGAGTGAAACGACTGAAGAAGAACAAGAAAATATAATAATAACAACTAAAATACATGGCCAATAAAGTATTATTAAAATACTTCCATTTTTTAATTTACATTAATTATCCAAATAAAAAAAGTGCGTGCGTACAAAGTACACATGTCAGAAGTGAAACTTTTTTGGCGAACTAATTTATAAGTCTTGCTTATATTTATATAAATCTAAAACTTTAGATTTCCGAGACTTAGAGGAAGGGAAAAAGGAAGGTATGTTCCCGCCAAAAGTCTGTCAAATGTCAATCTCAAACCTCAGTGTTGACAGTCACATTATGTTTAGATTTCTAAATTGTAAATGAATAATATTTTGCCAATTGAATTGACTAATTTAATTTCATGCTATTTGATTAATGTTCCAAATTATTTTCATTTCATTTCAATTCCTATTAACATTTTTCACAAAAAAATTATAAAATATTAGGCTGTATGGTATGATAAATTTGCCTTACCAGTTGGAAAAATACAACAACTACTACTACTGACATTTGACAAGTACTTAATTTCAATAGTAGTTTGATGTCACTTCCGTTGCATACCCGCGTGACGTTCTGTAAAAATTTTACCCTCATGCGCCTAAAGAAGTTTCACTTCAAAAATTGAGCTTGATAAAATCAAAAGTATGCTCATTTATTGCCTCTAAGGCGGAACAAAGTTCGCCGGGTCACCTAGTTTAATATAAATTTAAATTAAGGTTAGGTATTTTACTATTTACAAAAAGTCACGAGGAATTTTAATTTTATATTCATCATCTGAGATTTTATTCTAATTATAATTATAAATACAGTCAAAATCTGTTATAACGACATCGAAGGGACTGCTCATATTCAGTCGTAAAAACCGATAGTCGTAACAACCGGTGATGTTTAATGTGTATCGTGCAAGTACAAACAAATCGATAGGGAATTATTGGTAAAATATATTTACATAATACGCGATTTTTCTTCATTATTAATTTGTTTTCTTTTTTCTTTGCGACATTTTGAAAGTTTCACGAATAACTCTACAAAGTTTTGGTGCGTCTTGTGTATAGATAAGTACAAACTAACTGAAGAGATATGAAGAAACGGGCTTTGACTCTACTGCATGCATGTGTTTTGTTTCTAAGAATTAGAAAAGACCCTACACTAAACTAAATCCTATTGTTTTCTTTCCTGATTTTAATAGCCATTGAAGACAAATGTGGATACCTATTCAAATTGTTTACAATACAGCTTAGCCGGTCGTTCTAACAGATCTAATTCTCCGAAATATTAGTCAAATGTGGTCGTTTTATGAGGTATGTCGTTATTACCAATGTCGTAGAAAGCAATATTTTTAATAAGGCGGTCATATGGCATTCAGCCGGGATCTTTGTTCTAGGTTATTATAACCGGCATGTTGTATTAAGCGATGTCGCAGTAAACGGTTTTGACTGTATAAAAAATTGTTTGTCAAAGAGTTTTCACTTCAGACATGTCTACTTTGTACGCGCGCACTTTTTATTATTATTACTTAGATGGATGGACGAGCTCACAGCTCACCTGATGTGAAGTGGTTCCCGGAACTCACAGACATCTACAGCGAAAATGCCGCCTCCCACTTTGAGATATGGGTTCTAATAATAAAAATTATGAATAAAATAATGCAAATTCAATTGACTTAGTGTAAGAAGTTATTTCGCTGATTTAAATTGATCGGAACAGCGATTTACATCGATGTAGCAGATTTAAATGTCCAAATCTAATATGTACTTTTTTTTTTTATAAATATTATTGAGAAATGATTATAAAATTATATAACGAAATCAATTCATTCATCGTGAAGTGAAATCTTATGGTTGTTAGAAATTCCGCATCGCTCCACACACAATACAGGCTCCGTTGTTAACTTTCTCATAAGCAAGATTCGTACTGATAAAAAGGTATTGGTGTCAGAGCTTCTAAGATTGTAGCTGAAAGTGCATGTACTGTGCACCTATCTAGTGAACACGGGCCATGGGCTAAGCAAACACAGCGATGACACGGCCCGTAGTATAAGCGAACGGCGATAAGGAATTTGCTTCTTTCATATGAACGAGTCGACGGTGAATTAATTAACCGAGTTCAAAAAAGGAGGAGGTTCTCAATTCGACTGTATGTTTTTTTTTTATTATGTTTGTCACCTCATAACTTTTGACTGGGTGAATCGATTTTGATGATTCTTTTTTTATTAAAAAGCCGACGCTTCCCGTGTGGTCCCATTTTCCAATTTAGTCCATTTCTGATAATGGTATCCATGAGAAAACCATATAAGTCTTAAATTTGCATTAAGTACGTGCGCGACAAATAGATGAATATGTAACTCAATAGCTCAATATCACGCCAACCGATTTCGATGATTATTGTTTTTAGTGTATATTAATTTGTTTTAGAATATAATTTTTTTCTATTTGAAGTCGGTTTTTGTTAAAGCATGTCTGTTTACAATTATTTTTAATTTTTAATATAGGAACTAGTTCAATTTTTGTTTTTAAATCTCATGTATATCTTTTTATTGTATGTTTGTATATTCTTTAATAATGTATTATTAATAGTAAACCGCAACATACCTGCTATATCTTTTCCAGAATTTCTCTTAATGAAACAAACGGCTGTCTGGAAAAAATCGCTTTTAGCGATAAGACCGCCTATTGTACAAATGTATCTGCTTGTTGACTGTTTTCTAATGTTAATTGTGTTTTGGTGTGCAATAAAGTATGTTCTCTCTGTCTCTCTGATTTGAAAGGCAAATAATATGTAAACATTGCCAATTCCAAGAAGTATGGAAATGAAAAGTAAAATATTCAAATATTCGTTGAGTTCGAATGAAAAATGAATAAAATAAGAGTGATAAACTTACTTGTAATAATAGTAATTTAATATTTTTATTTAAAATATACATATTTATAGTTTTCGGCACACATATCGTATAAAGGCGGTTAACTATCCTGGACTGTTTTGCGTCCGAATGTTGCATTTTAGAACTGAGCACAAAAACGCTAAAATGGTTAATAAACATTAGAAACGATAAACGTGAAGCTGTTTTAATATAAAATGAAATTCGTTAACAAGGAATGCAAATTTGAACTACCCGCTTTCTCTTGTGCGCTTGAACCGCAAACTGTACCTTTCACCGTCAGGAGATATTGTCCAAGCAGCCTCGATCCTGCTCATTACCATATACTGGTCCCGTGGCAGTATCGCAATTAAATATATTAACGTCTATTATTGAATGAATTATAAACAAAGTTAGCGTGACGCTCTAGGGTGCGGTCATGTGATTTATAAACATTAACTTGTACGTCCAAGCTTTTTCATTTGTATTACATACATTGATAATACTGTGAATGGTCGTTTAAGTGACACGAAATGAAATAATGGTTTATGTGAAGTAAAAAGATGTGTGGTGTCGCAGGACACCGGATAGGAACGAAGTTCCTTATTATAAAAATATAAATTTTAAATTCTATTCGAGCTATAAAGAAAATAATTAGTCGAGTATACATTTTCTATCATGATTTTTTTATTGATAGAAATAAAAATAATCGCAAGGGTCAACCACTCCGCAGTGCAATGGGGCAGCCTCGCCCTGGGGAACCGCCTGCATGATCACGGTGTACCCAAGCCAGGTAAGTATGATTTAGCAAGAGAAATACGAGAACGTCTATCAACTGTGTAACATCTCGTCACCGCGATTCAGGAATTGTTAAATTTTCGTGCAGCGACATCTGTTGCTAACAAACTCAATAGAAAAAATCTTACGTTACGGACGTTTTTTCCCGGTTAGGGTACCCCTCCGCATCGTCCCATAAGGAACTTCGTACCAAAAAACAAAATGAATATTCGAATGTGTCATAATTGTAAGCGAGTATTTTATATTCTTAGAATTTCAAAGAAATAAATACATGAAAACAATATTTTATATGTTAGTACGGATTATTATTAGTCCGAGGTGGCCAAGGGTTTTTAATCATGATGCAATAATGCAATATTGATTTCTCGTTTAAATTTAACATTACATTCGTGCATGTAAGAAGATTGAAATTCATGTCTGTTCGTATTCTCATCGAATGGAATTACACGAAATTATTGCGGCTTTGAATTACGCCAGAATACGAATACTCGTTTGTTAGTTAAAGTGTAGATGCCGTGGAGGCTGAAATGTTATGTTTTTGGCCTTTGTTTAGAATTTCATTTAATTAGATTTTTTTTTACAGCACGTAGATGTGTGAACGTTTTTTTTTTTTTCGTCTGACTTCCTCCCTCTACTGCGGATGGTGGGTGAATTATGTTGGAGTCGAACCTATTAAAACCTCCTGTCGCTCAACAACCCACGTCCGAACCTCGCATGAGATCCACCTCCCCGATCCCCATAATTTAGGTCTTTTCATTGTTTTGCCAGAGCACATTTTTGCTAACACTGTCTCATCACTCTCTATACCAACGCCGTAGACGAGCTCACAGTCCATCTGATATTAAGTGGTTACCGGAGCCCATAGACATCTAAAACGTAAATGCCGCCACCCATCTTGAGACATCAGTTCTAAGTCTCAGTTTTTACAGTACAACGGCTGCACCCTTCAAACCGAAACGCATTACTGCTTCACGGCAGAAATAGGCGGGGTGACGGTACCTACCCGCATAGACTCACAACACCGGTAAATTGACAGTAGTAGATTGATACTGTTATGACGGCGCAGCTTATTAGCACTAGAGGTATGTATTATGACCCGAATCACATAAATTTTACGTGACAATAAGGTCAGTGGGATCCTATTCCTTTTTCTAAGCCTTATATATTACTTAGTTAATAAATTGTTTTAAATATCGTCTGAAGTTGACCGTTAATACAACCATCATGTTTTTAACTGTCTTCCATCAGCTATTGCTCATGCAATAGATTGTTAATAATATAATCATTAAATTTGTTTACGTTATAAAATATGCATTAAAAGTACTATTGTGAAACTTACCAGGCACATAATGTCAACCGACCATTGTTTGGTATTTAAATCATACGATCAATTGATTATTTACATTCAACCTTTCACGATTACACGTACTAGTAGGCATCTACTGTGTTTTTAGAATCTGTTCAGCCCAATCGTGTCGTTATTTTAATAATAAATCTTGTACAGTTACAATAAGTAATGTGTGCTTGTAAGTTTTGTATTCATTTAAATATTGTTCATGTTTTGTGAACGATTGTATTGGAACTTTTTATAATTGTCTCAGGTAGTTGAAGGATGATGGGAGGACACTATTAACGTGACATAAGGGACACTTGAATCGTTGCAATAGCGGTCAACTCTGACTTTTAATCTTCGGGGTCCAAGGACTTCCTGATTCAATTATTAGCTATTTGGAGTTCGATTGTACCAGTTTCTAGCTTTAAGTTTTTTTTGTTTTTTTTTTATTGCTTAGATTGGTGGATGAGTTCACAGCCCACCTGGTGTTCAGTGATTATTAGAGCCCATAGACATCTAAAACGTAAATGCGCCACCCACCTTGAGATATAAGCTCTAAGATCTCAGTATAGTTACAACGGCTGCCGTACCCTTCAGACCGAAATGCATTACTGCTTCACGGCAGAATAAGGCAGGGCGGTGGTACCTACCCGCGCGGACTCACAAGAGGTCCTACCACCAGTAAAGTATGTGTATTTAATTTCAATTTGAAAAGTATTTTCACTTCGTTATCGATTTCTTAAGCTGATCCTTTGAAATACGGACAGATTGATGGTATCAAATTCGAAGACTTAATTGACGTTGGACGACGGAACCCACAGAAAGGGTTTTTAAAAATAAATGAACGGACGATATATTACAAACGTACCTTAACAAATTGGCACATTCATATAAAATATCAGCATACACGAAGCCATACATCCCCCGGCGATACTTTGATATATAGCCCGAGATAAGTGCGATATAGAGTTATGGCTTAATTAAGTCCGTCTCACGTGGAACCGCAATTATACAAGTCGATTTCTTGACGGCGCATCTGGAACAAATTGCACGGGTTTGTATTCTTATTGTCCTGCAATAATGTGTCTAAAATATAAGAAGGTACATAAGCGTCATAAGGTAAGGCAGGAAGGTATGCAAGGTGTAATATCGCAGTGGGTAGGTACTAGCTATTTTTAATACACTTTTATTAGCTTCAGACGTATGTATGTTAGTATGTAACGGAATCTTTGAACATGATTTTGACCCTTTTCAAAACATCGGATTAATTCGAAATTTGGCATACTTATTAAGGACCGATGACAATTTAATACTAAAAAAAAATTGAAAAAATTCAAATTCAACTAAAATATGAAAAATAAATAATAGTTAACAAAAACAACAAAAAACATTTTTTCTTACACTAATTTTAATTCAAATTTATTAAAATTTATTTTCAATTTTTTAGTTGGATTTTCTATAAAAGCGTGTTTTTTTTTTGTTTTTTTAAACTATTATTTTACATAAAGCGGTCCAAAGTGAAAGGTATGTCTTTGTAGATACATACCTATATATCCTCTAGGCCAGTCTTTCTCAAAGTGGGCGATAACGCCCCCTGGGGGGCGTTTGAAACCTAGAGGGGGGCGTTAAGGGGCCCAGGAAAAAATGGGGGGCGTTGATGTGGGTTAGGGGGGCGCTGTAAAATTTGTAATTTCATTTACTTAATTTACCCATTACCGTCCAATGTCAAATAGTATAGTAAGCCTAAGCAGCTCACTTATTGTAAACATTGTTTACTATTTTATTTCTATATAATAATAGGTTGGGGAAAAAGTTTTTTCGCATTTTTTAAGAACATTCACAACATTTTTTAATATAGTTTATTCGCATTTAAATAAAGTATGTCGGTACCATTTTGTTCGATAACTTTTTGCCATCTTGTAGGTAGGGACATGATCCCATTGCTATAGAAATTTTGGGGCTTCTGATCAAAATACCGCGACAATTGGTTTTGGCAGTCCTCTCGTGATGTTAACCTGACACTGCCTAAAGAATTCTGAAGAGACCGAAACAGGTACAAATCTGAAGGTCTAGCGTTATCGTGATGAAAAACCACACCCCTTCTGTTGATTAATTCCGGCCGCTTTCTCTCAACTTCTTGCTTTAATCTCATCAGTTGTTCGCAGTAGAGTTCAGAATCGATGGTCCTGCCTGGTGGTATTAGCTCATAATGTATAATGCCCTTCCAATCCCACCACACACACAGCATCACCTTGTTGCGAGTTAACCCGGGTTTTGCTAGAGTCTGTGAAGCCTGACCGGCCTTTGACCACAACCTTTCTCGTACGTTCTTGTCGTACGTGTTCCACTTTTCATCACCAGTTATCAGCTTCTTCAAAAATGGTTCGGTTTCATTACATCGTAATAAAGAATCACAAATGAGTACACGGTTCGTTAGGTTTCTTTCAGTGAGCTTTTTTGTGTGCCCAGTTTTTTTCAAATGCGCCATAACTATTTTATGGTCAATTCCCAGTTCTTCAGTTACGTCTAACTACTGATATGCCGATCTTGCCCACTTTTGCAAAAATGGCATCGATTTTATCCGTAATAGGGCGACCAGAGCGACGTGCATTTTTGACATCAAAATTTTCGGATTGAAAACGCTTAAACCAAATTTGTGATACTCTCACATACACTGCACTAGGTCCATAAACATCGCAATACTTTTTCACGGCTGGCGTTGCTTTTTTACCTTTTTTGTAGTAAAATTTTAAAATGTATCGAATATCTTCATTAGATTCACTCATCTTGACAGTACGAAAAATAAATAAAATCACACATCTTCCTAATTTTAATTTGGAATTATCTTCTTTCGAACTTAAATTTTTAATGATACCAAAACCAGCCAGTTACAAATAATATAGCCAAGGAGATTTTATTACAAGTTCATACATTTTTAAGCTATTGCATAGCTTTTATCGCGGGCCTTAAGCGCGGCGACCAAATCATAAAATTCCGTAACGAAAAAAACCTAACATCCCTCACTCCGCCTACCATGTAGCTCGCGTTCAACACATTCACACGTTGCGCTTGTGTAGTGTTTGTGAATAAGCGCGTGGCGTGACGTCACACTGCATGCGCATCATGAAAAGTCTGACCATCTCTCTCGCGCGCGGTTTAGCTTATGAATATGAAGGGGACAGTTAAGGTTTTGCCTTTATTAAGGTTTAATATAGCGTGGTCTTGTTTTATTATTGTTTTAATATTAAATTATCATTGTCTAATTATAATGTCATAAGTTGATAAAAAATGCTATGCAATAGCTTTACCGCCGCAGTTCCCGAGTGCCACACGTTTTTTTTTTTGTCAAGAGGAAATCGCCGGACTTCCGCCCTTCACTGGGGATGGAGGGCGGGGCATGTCGGAGTCGAACCGACTAAAACCTCTTGTCGCTCAACAACCAGCATCCAAACCTCGCATGAGACAGAGCTCATGAAAAGGCATAGGGGGGAAAGTGAAGCGTTTAGTGCGGAGCACATCTCTCCCATTACCCTCCCCCTCGGGACGCCGGACTGGTGGTCGTCGGCGCCACGACCACCAGCCCTCTCGGTCGGCAGGCTGTCCGAAGCCTGCCTAGATGGCACCGGTTAGAATGGTCTATCCTACGGAATACCCCGCTGGGTCAGAACCA